GTCGACTTCAACCTGAAGGGCCCCAAATTGCAGGGAGATGTGGATGTGAGCCTTCCCAAGCTGGAAGGGGATTTGCAATGTCCGGACGTTGACCTCAAAGGCCCCAAATTGGACCTTCAGGCGCCCGACGTGAAGGTCCCTGAAATGCACCTCAAGATGCCCCACGTCTCCGTCCCTGACATCGACCTCAACCTGAAGGGCCCAAAGGTGGAGGGGGAGCTGAAGGGCCCCAGTGTGGATCTGAAGGGTCCCAGTGTGGATCTGAAGGGTCCCAAAGTCGATATTGAGTGTCCTGGGGTCGACATCGACGGTCCAGAGGGAAAAGTGAAACTACCGAAAATGAAGCTGCCGAAATTTGGGCTGAAAGGAGATGCCCCCGAGGTGGATGTGGAGCTGCCCAAAGGAGAGGTCGAGCTTTCGGGCCCCAAAGTGGACATCGCTGTCCCCGATGTGAGCATCGAAGGTCCGGAAGGAAAACTGAAAGGTCCTAAAGTGAAAGTGCCCGAAATGCACGTGAGCGTGCCCAAAATCTCCATGCCCGACATCGATCTGAATCTGAAAGGGCACAGAGCCAAGGGAGGATTCGACCTCACGGCCCCAAAGATGGAAGGGAGCCTGAAGGGACCCGACGTCACCGTCAAAGGACCCGAATTTGGGGTGAAAAGCCCCGAAATGGACGTCGAGTGTCCGGAGCTGAGCGTCGAAGGGCCGGAGGCGAATGTCAAGGCTCCCAAATTCAAGAAACCGAAATTTGGGTTCGGGATGAAGAGTCCGAAGGGCGACGCGAAGGTCCCGGAGGTGGAATTCCCAGAGGTGGAGCTGAGCGCGGAGTTACCCGACCTGAGCGTGGCGGCCAAAGGCAAGAAGAGCAAATTCAAGATGCCCAAACTCCACATGAGCGGCCCCAAAGTGAAAGGGAAGAAGGGAGCCTTCGACGTGAGCGTGGCGGGGGCGGAGGTGGACGTGGGTGTGAAACCCCCCGAGGTGGATGTGAGCGCGGCCGGCCCCGACGTGGCCGTGAAGTCCCCCAAAGGGAAGAAGGCCATGTTTGGGAAGATCTCCTTCCCCGATGTGGAGTTCGACCTGAAGTCGCACCGCTCCCGGGGGGACGCGGCAGCGGTGCTCCCGAAAATGGAAGGGGAACTGAAGGAGTTGGAGGTGAAGGGTCCGAGCGTCGACGTGGAGGTGGGGGCGGCGGATTGGAGCGCGAAGAAAGCCAAAGTGGCGATTGCTGGGGTGAAGGTGGAGGGGGAGCCGGAGTTTGAGCTGAAAGGACCAAAAGGCAAAGTGGAAATGTGCGTTCCTGAAGGGAGGCTGAACGTGGGGCTGAAAGGACCCGAATTCGACGGGAACCTGAAAGGACCAAAGGTGAAAAGCGATGCGGAGCTCAGAGGGTCGGGAGGGCAGCCGCCCCATCTGACGGCGCCGCGCATGGAGGGCCCCGAGCTGAGCATCGGCGGCTCCGTCCCATCCCTGGGCTGCCAGGGGGCTCAGCTCCACCTCTCCGGCCCTTCGGTGGCCGTTTCGGCCCCTGATCTCAACATGAAGGCAGATCTCGGCGGCTCCGCCAAATCCCCGGTGCTGTCGGTGGACGCGGCCGGCGTCGGCGTGGAGGGGTTGGGCGGAACCATCAAACTGCCGTCCCTCCAGCTGCCCCGGTTCGGCCTCTCCGTTAACGGGGCCGACGTCGAAGGAATCGACGGCGCCGCGTCCGACGTCCCGGCGACCAAAGCGAGCGTCCGAGGGCCGGCGGCGTCGGGAGGGGGCGGCCCCAAAGATGGCGGCGGCGGCGGGGATCTGTGCGCCGGCAGGGTGTCCTTCCCCAAACTGCGGGTGCCGAAATTCCACTTCTCCGAGCCGGAGGTGAAGGGCAGAGAGGTGGCGGTGGACGTGGAGTTCGCAGGGACGGAGGCGGGCGTCCCAGCGGAGCCCGAGGCGGACGATGCCAAAGGGAAGAGACCCAAACTGAAGATGCCCAAATTCGCTTTCTCCAAAGGGAAGGCGAAAAGTGGGGCGGCTCCCGGTTCCCCCGAGCTGCCCGGCTCCCCTGGGGGCTCCCGGGGCGACCTGAAGAGCTCCAAAGGCAGCCTGGGCTCAGCCGAGGGCGAGCTGGACGAGGCTTCGTCCTCCAAAGGCAAATTCTCCATCTTTAAGAGCAGGAAGACGAGGCTCCGCTCGTCGTCTTTCAGCGCCGAGCCGCCGGAGCCGGAAGGAGCGCAGGGAAAAGCCAAGTTTGGGACGTTCGGCGGCGTGGGCTCGCGGAGTAAAGGCTGCTACGAGGTGACGGGGGGCGAGGAGCAGCCCTCAGCCCCACATCAGCCCCCTTCCGCCCCACATCAGCCCTCCTCGGGTGCCGCCCGCGGGGCGCTGCGGTTGCCTTCCTTGGAGCTGACGGTGGCCAAGCGACGCGAGCAGGAGGGCGGCTGCACATAGGGCCGGGCTCACAGCGCCCTGCCTCCCTTTTGTTTTTGGGCCTTTCTTTTTTCCCCTTTC